AGAGCTCTGATGACCTTCAACCAACTGTGGCAGCTTCGGCCAAACCGTCTGCGGCACACGCTACTATCACACGGTAGACTTGTAGAGCCTTACAGAAATCGACACTTCTTGTTGGCCATACGGACGCGCCAAGATGGATGCATCATGATTTCTACCTGACGAATCCTGAACCTGACTTTCGAAGCTTTTCCTGAGTCATTTCCACCTGTCGTTGAGCATTGTTTCTGTTTTGCTTCAATGCAAGAGCGGGTGACATTGTCCGTCTCACCGTTCTGTTTTCTGCACAGCCAAGCTCGCCCCAGGTAGACAGTGGCACAGCCAAGCTCACCATTGCTCCTTTACCAGGCCTTTGCCAAAGACATTTGGCAGGGTTCAGGGGTGTGGAAAATCATGGATATTCTGATCAGGATTTGTGCAGGCGAACTTGCTACCAACAATGTAAACTTTGTGCTTGTCCCGGGATGCCACTAGAACCAAATGCCACTCTTGCTACGAATTACATCAATGTTCACATGTCATCGAATATGTCCATTGCTCGTCCCCCCTTGCTAGTGGTTGGCAATCCAAGCACGGGGCCCATTTGCAGGGTACCAACTTGTCACGAAGCTCACAACCCTGGACGGTTCCCACAATCAGCCAAGCTGCCAAGTCTCCTCGTCTGACAGCCTAGGCCTAGGCGTTTGAAGGCCATTCTCTGGAGGATCTGTGGTGACCCATGCTGATCAAATGTCTCAAATGACAAAATCACCAAATCGATCAAAAGCAATTGAGGAGTGTCCATATCAAAATACAGACCGCACTTTTGTCATGCACATTCCTGCATGGGATTTGAGCGTCTTCACCATGGCTCCTCCGTGGCATGACTTCTATCCATGAAAAAAAAGAAAGGTGCCTCTCAGTTGGAAGCCTTGTTGGTAGTGGTAGTCTTGCTGAAATCCTCGAGCTGCTTCATTTGTTCTTTCAGGCGCTCCTCCTTGCTCTTGGCATTCTGTGAAAAGGCGGCCTGTGCCTTCTCCACCTCTGCCTTCAGCTTGGCCTTCTTATCCACCACCACAGCTTCCTTTTTTTCTTGCGCCATGGCCATTTGAGGACCGCTGGCGAGGCCAACCATGAGTCCCAGCACGGAAGCCATCGCAACAGCGCCGAAGGGGAAGCTGGAGGGCTCCTCAATCATCTCCACTCGCTGCATCTGCTCCACCTGGTTGGCTGAGCGCAAAGCTGGCCGAGGAGCACCAGGTGCCACGAAGGCAGAGCTTGGCACCAAGGCGGCACTGAGGAGGATCAGCAGGAAGCGCGACATGGCTCAAAGGAGAAGAGCTCTGATGACCTTCAACCAACTGTGGCAGCTTCGGCCAAACCGTCTGCGGCACACGCTACTATCACACGGTAGACTTGTAGAGCCTTACAGAAATCGACACTTCTTGTTGGCCATACGGACGCGCCAAGATGGATGCATCATGATTTCTACCTGACGAATCCTGAACCTGACTTTCGAAGCTTTTCCTGAGTCATTTCCACCTGTCGTTGAGCATTGTTTCTGTTTTGCTTCAATGCAAGAGCGGGTGACATTGTCCGTCTCACCGTTCTGTTTTCTGCACAGCCAAGCTCGCCCCAGGTAGACAGTGGCACAGCCAAGCTCACCATTGCTCCTTTACCAGGCCTTTGCCAAAGACATTTGGCAGGGTTCAGGGGTGTGGAAAATCATGGATATTCTGATCAGGATTTGTGCAGGCGAACTTGCTACCAACAATGTAAACTTTGTGCTTGTCCCGGGATGCCACTAGAACCAAATGCCACTCTTGCTACGAATTACATCAATGTTCACATGTCATCGAATATGTCCATTGCTCGTCCCCCC